AAAAAAAAGATTTATTTATTTCTGCACACTACAACTGGTGTGTTAAGTCAGAGGTGCAGGAAGAAGCGTAAGCTGGGCCAAAACATAACTTCCTGCTTTATCTGGTTTGCTTTTTCTTGTCCACAGGCACGCAGTCTCTGACCTAGGCTCCCCCGGACGCTCGCCGAAGCCTCGGAGTCCCCCAGCGCACTGAAGGTGAGTACACGCGGTGGTTTGCTGGCTTGAACTCGACAGCGGGTACACGTAAGCCTCTTTACAGTTACGGCTTAATGACACCGAAGAGTGTCGTGTTGACAGTGGAGGTCTCCTGCCCAGTCCCTCCCACCCCCAGAAGGTCGCCGTCTCTTCTGCAGCAGCTTGCCCGGCTCCTCTGAGCACGCACTCCCGTTTGAGCTTGCTGTTCAGAGAGGAGCGGCCGTGCTATCTGGATACTTCTGCAGTTTGCCCTGGCCCAGGCACACTGTGTCGTGGGGGTCTTTGTTCATCCTCTACATCAGTGTATTACGTCAGAATTTTTTTTCTAATTCACGGAGAGATGCGTTTGCTGCTTGGGGCGCAGCTGTGTGCGTGGATGGCTGCTGCCATCATGTGCTTCGGTCCTCACGGTGGCTGGCGGGTGGCTCAGAGTCCTGGCTGACCAGGTGGGTGCTTGGGACAGGAGGTGCTCGCAGCACCACGAGACCCTACCTGTGAGGGCAGTGGGGGAGCGGAAGGTTGGCACCCGGCCTCTGGCCTAGGGCTGGGCTGCAGGGTGGGTGGCTCGGGCAGTGGGAACGGAGCGAAGCTGGGCGTCACCTCTCTCAGCTACGGCTTGGGTCTCCCCCGGCCCTGTCCTGGCCGGAAGCTCTGCCAGCTACCAGAGCTTGCTTGGGGGATGGTCTCCAGGGTCAGATTCCACCAAAAGTTGCTTCTTAGCACGATTCTGTAATAACTTTTACTTTGAAGGACTCTCAGACTTCCAGGAAATCTGCCCAGATGGCAGAGTGTTTGCACGTCTACCCTTCACCCGGCCCCCCAGCCCCCTCCGCTGCGACTGTCACACAGCTGTCAAAACCAGGGACACCACTCCGGCGACTTGAGTCCACTGCACTCGCTTTTCCTCTGTCCCTTTATGCACCACAACCCTGCCCAGGGCCCCCCATTCCTGCCTCTGTCTGTACAGTCCCGTCCGCCTGTCCTCCATGGCCTTGGGCTCGCAGGAGGACTGCTTGGTGCTTGAGAAGGTCTCAAGGTGCCTTTGCCGTCGCCTCAGCTGGAGGCCGCACTTTCCTCAGAAGGGCCCACAGAGGTGCTGTGTTCTCCGTGGGTCGCGTCAGGGCTCCCTGACTTCACGTCTGACCGCTGGGGGCCTCGGCCTGGAGCACCTGGTTGAGGTGCTGCCCGTGCTCCTTCATGGAGATCCTGTCTCCCCTCTGTAACCGCTCTCAGAGGGGTCCTTGGACCCCGGGCTGCTTGTTTTCGTTAGACTTCTGCTCCCTGATTTTGGCCTCCACTGGTTGAGTGACTCTTGCTGGTGATGGCTATGACTGTGGTGTTTCCCGCTGGCCTGTGGATCCCTTAGCCAGTGTGTTAATTCCCTCCACATTGAGTTCTGTAAGTTACTCGTGTGTATCTCTGTGTGCTCAGTTATTCGTTTTAATCTAGCACATTCCTTTTTTTTTTTTTAAGATTTATTTATTTATGCATACAGAACTGGGGTACAGGCCAGAGGTGCAGTGGTGGTGAGAAGATCCACCAGAGACAGAGCGGGCAACAGAACAGGCAGATAGATAAAGTCCACTGCTGAGGGGAGCAGCAGGTGGGCCAGGAGAGGTCTGCTGCGCCCTGTGGGTCACCTCCGGGGCGGGGATCAAACTCATGCTGCAGTGGCTTTAGCTTCTTAGAGCTGTGCTTTACCCCCCTGCGCCACGAGGGAGGGCCCGCACGTTCCTCTTTAATGTGGAAAAAGGCTCCATGTTCTGAGTACATTCTTGTGTTGCTCTCAAACTGCAGGTGTAGCTGCGTTTTTCCAGCGCCATTGGCAACCTCAGAGCAGGAGATGGGTTTGGTTTGTTCCTTCATTTCTTTCCTTCACTCAACAAATGCGCATTTGAGCACCCACTGTTATGTTCCAGGCCCTGGGGACTCAGGAATGAACAAAACCAAGAAAATCCTTTCCCTCCAGAACGAGCATGCGGTTGGAGAGTAAATCAGGGAACAAACAGCTACGCAAATGGATGGGAGGGAGCCAGGGCCTTGGAGGGGTCACGCAGGAAAGGGGTGACCGGCAGTGACAAGGGGCGAGGTCTGGAGGTGAGCCCGGAGGGCCTCTGGCGTGGCCCTGAGTGGAGGTTAGACCCCCACCGCACCTACCCAGGTCAGCTGGGAAAACAAAACAAACCTTCTCGCTACTGAGTGGGGTTTCCAGCGTCGCAGCAAACAGAAGAGCGAGGCCCTCTCTGAGGGCGGCCCCACCTGCTCTTGCCCTGTGTCAAACGCAGGAAGCGCCCAGGGCACAGGGTCTGCTGCTGTTTCGTCTCCAGTTAAAGGCAGAAGTGAAGAATTCTCGCTTGTCCACGGAACCCACGTTGTGCTGCATCGTAATTTCTGCTTGATGCATGGATTAATGTATTTTGTTCATTTTTGTTGTTTTCATTTATGGACACTTTGTACAGAAGCTACCGGTGTTTCATTTTGGTGGTAATGTAGATTCCTCTTCAAATATTTATTGAAATTTGGAAGTGAGTTGAGGTAAAGAAACTATAAAGTAGATCACTCTCCAGAGGGGACCCAGAGGCAACCGCCAAGGAAGGGGGGCACATGAGGGAGACGTGGTAGGCCTGTCCTGGCGCAGCTGCCTCCTGGGGGTGGGATTGCTCGAGCCGGAGGTTGGCTGTGACCATGCAGGCACCTCCTTGAGCCTTTGGGGGTGCACCTGCCAACAGTGCTTTTATTTTTTTAAGATTTATTTATACCTACAAGAACTGGGGTGCAGGCCAGAGGTTCAGGAGAGTGAGAGGAAACACCAGAGACAGAGTGGGGAGCTGAACATACAGATCTACTGAAATACACTGCTGAGGGGAGCAGTGGGGAGACAGGAGAAGTCGGTCTGCTGCGCCCTGTGGGTCAGCTCCTAGCCCGGCGATCGAACTTGCACTAAAGCGGCTGTGGCCAGCTTGCAGTGCTGTGCTTTAACCCAGTGCGCCACCAGGGAGGGCCCAAGAGTGCTCCTGATGCAGGAATAGAAAAGCCCACTCGCGGCTGCTTAAACAGACAGGGCTGACTTGCCTCCCCCCAGCCACCTGGGGCCCAGCAGGTCCCCCAGTAACATTCCTTTCACTGTAACCTCGATGAGGAAAAGGAAATCCCAGCCAACAGTGAGCAGGACCATGGTATTGGAGTGCCTGGTTTCATTTCACGTCGTTTGCTGTCATCACAGTTTCCGAGAACCTGTCCGTGATGTCAAGTGAGGGCTGAACTGCCCTTGGCTGAGAATGTTCGCCCAGAGGCCGAGTAATGTCTGCGCTGGAGGCTCTTTGATTCTCTCAGCCTTCCCGGTGGTTTCGAGGCTGCTGCTGCGGCTCCTGGCAGAACTCCTGCTGTTTCTCAGCAGTGTGGGCTGCTTCGGCACTCCAGGGGCCCCTCAGAAGTCTCCACTTGCACCCCATTGGCCAGAGGATGGCCCTTGACCTCCCTTTCTTCAGAGGAAGGTGGGAAATTTCATTCAGCTTTTCGGCCACTGAGGAGGAAGCCAGGGAAGAAAGAGCATCGAGAGTGTCGGCAGGCCAGCCGCCACGGTGCCTGGCTCCAGAGGGAAACAGCAATAATGCTGGACATCGTGGCGGTGTCTCGGCGCCCGGCCCTGCTGTGTGCTCCGTGTGTGCATGTGCTCATGCCCTCGGCATCGATCGCTCTGTAATGATCTGGAAACTGAGGCACGGAGCTGTGGAGCCACTTGCAGCCTGGAACATCAGAGCCGGCGCCGAGTCCTTACAGCCTGTCCCTGGCGCCCTCCCGCTTAGCCACGCGCTCTCTCCTCTCAATAGAGGTCTGGGGAGCCAGGCTGCTGGCTTCTGGCCTCCATCTAAATTCTAACCTCAGGGCCGGAATGAGGTCATGTACTTTGATTTCAGGAAGTTTTGGTTTATTTTTCCTAGTGAATTACGCTCCCCCTCTCCGTGACCCCCTCCCACTAGTCTGGTCCAGTCCCAGGGGGCAGCACCCGCCGCGTGGCTTCTGGCCAGCAGCCCTTTGGGATTTGCATGTGGCTGAGACTGCTCTAGGCCTCCGGTTTCCAAACAAGGTGCGCCCTGCGGATTGACCTGTCCCAGAGGGAGGCTTCCAGCTCTGCCACCTTTCCTGGGTTCTGCCAGTGAGCCAGCACACATTCAGTACCCTGCCTCCCACCGCGGCCGGGTGGCTGGCGCCTCTCGACTGGCCAGGCCTACTCAGGTCACTGCTCCCCGGATGGTGATAGCCTTGTGTGGTCAGCGCTGGGGGGAGCCCAGGGTTGGTGGGGCCTCGAGGAGATGCCCAACCCAGCCTGGGGGGTCTGAGGCTTCTGGAAGCAGTTGTGGACCTGGGGAGAGGAATAGAGATCAAGGAGCCTTTACCCCTTCTCCTCCCTTTTCTTCAGTGACACTCGTTCACCCCAGTGGTCCTTCCTGAATCTCCATTCCCTTCCTCTGTAGAATAAAGCATGTGGGTTTGGGGTGCCAGCAGCCAGCACTGATAGGGCCTGTCCCAAGTCCCTGGTCATTGCTGGGCCCAGGTTTACAGGGGTGGTGTCTGGGACAGACAGTACCTGGGGAAAGTGATGCAGGTAAAGGGCTCCGAGTGACGAGGCCTAGTAGGAGAAGCCACAGGCCTGTAGGAACCCAGAGGACTCACCTCGCGCTGGCGGGATTTCAGGGACAGCGTGACGAAAGAGGCAGGAGCACAGATGGACGTGATGTCTTCTGGGCATGACGGTCAACAGCTCAGCCACCCTGGTCGCAGCTCAGCCACCGACAAGCCCAGAGTGGGCGGCCTAAACCTAGGAGCCTCCCCTTTCTCTAAAGTGGTTTTGAGGATCGCGCTATGAACCTCAAGATTGACCTAGAACAACGCCTGGCACAAAGCAGCCGTGGGGTAGGGGGTGCTGGTGCCGATGGCGGCAGCTTGCGCCAATTAGCCTGTGTGGCGTGCCAGAGGCTAGGCCCGTCGTCACCAGCCTG